ATCAGTGTTATTATAATTCTTTCATTTTCTGAAATTACTGCTGACGAAGGTTGTGGAAGAAGACTCTGTTTTCCAATGACATTTCTCTGAACTAGCCATTCTGTTCCATCCATTAGAGATCTTTGTTTGGGCAGGAGCAAAGCATGGCCAGGGTAAGGAAAACAAGACAAACTCTAGAGTCAGCCTGCATTTAGGGTCAATAAAGAGCACTGGATAAACATTTACTGACAGTCTGCCCTGCCCCACTCCCCTGTGCCCAACAGCTGTTAAAAGTGGACACTCACATGGCAGGTCTCACCAATCAGAGTTCTCACTACCACCCCCACTGTAAGGATAAGTGCTAGCAAGAGAACAAAGTCAACACTGCTGCTGAGCCCAGCCACAGAAGCTCAGACTACTGTCTGAGTATCTTGATTATGATTTGCTTCCTTTCTTACTTCCAGCATTTACCTGCCACAATCCAAGCATTTCGTGTCATAGCTGTAGTGTTTAAAGAATGACATGTTCTCTTGCCCTTGTATATCTGTAATAAATACTATTATTTTTACTTGTGCTCGCAATGAACTCAGTAAAACAAACATTGATCAATAGATCTTTTTATAGATATAGATCTTTTTATAGATATATTTCCTGTAAAGTTTTAAAGGATTTAAGGGTAATGACAAGTATTTGTCTCAAAAAACCATCAGCAGAAGTAGGAACAGGGATCGTGGCTCTGAGACAGGTACAAGCTGCTTATACGCAAGCAATAGCAGATATTTCTCACAACCATTTTGCTTAACTTACAGATGAAAACCATCATTTCCAAGGTGTAGCTTCATTGTGAAATAACCGCAATAATCAATCTGGAGAAAGTTACCTACCAGTGGACATTTGTAGAAAAAGGAACAGATGACATGGGAGAAAGGAACCAATGTTAGAAAACACAGCCTAAGTCACCAGACCCATTTCATGGAAAATGACTACTTTACTTAAGCCTACTTCCTTATTACTTTTTTCTTTAATGGAAGCATATAAGAAAATCCTTATTACCCAATTAATTGTTATAAAGCTGCTAAAGTTCAACAGTTGTGTGACTGTGACTAAGTCAGAATAAAATCAAATCCCCTCTGTGAATCCATCACTTTTAGAATGAATGCAAAAACCATCATTTCTTCATGTATGCTTCTCACTGGAAAAGATCAAGGAGATCATCTACATGTAAACCACCCATAACATAAAACTAAAAACTGGTTACAAAAAAAGATTTCAGAACTATTTAGAAATCACTAAACTTCAAGTCCAAAACTATTAACAAATGAAGCACAAATCAGATGTCCCAACAAAGGAAGAATAAATTTCTATAATAAATCATTCAAATGAAAGGAATTCGAGTATTAAAAGATTTTTTAAAGGATCTGACAAATAGGCTCTTGAATATTTTCATAAAATGCCTTTGAGATGACTATATTACTCAAATATTATCTACACACAAAGCTAAAACAAAATGAGGGTAATGCCATTTTTTTAATTTCTAAGAACAATTTCATTTAAATTGTTTAAATCAAAATTTTGTTAGATAATACAAAAACATACACTTTCAGTACTTAATTTTCATTTTTTGAAGATTCTCATTATCTCCTGATTACCATCTACAAAGGATTGTAAAATCTATTTTTAGTTGACTTATTTTAAAAGACGATGGCCTTTCTGGTTTTATTCATACACAACCATATGAAGAAAAAGCATAAACATTACCTAGTCACTTAATAGAATAAAACTGAGAATTCAACACTTGATTGTGACCAAAAAAAATTTTTTTGGGGGGGTCTGGTCATGGGGTCTGAACTCTGAGCCTGGGCGCTGTCCCTCAGCTCTTCAGCTCAAAGCTAGCACTCTACCCCTTGAGCCACAGCGCCACTTCCGGCTTTTTTCTTTTTGCTTATGTGGTGCTGAGGAATCAAACCCAGGGCCTCAGGCATGCAAGGCAAGCGCTCTACCACTGAGCCACCTTCCCAGCCCAAATATTTTGTTTTTTGAGTTGAAGCTTAACTTTTTTAGTTGAATCATAAAACACCCATGCAGTTGGACAAAATATAATCTCTACTTGAATGAGATTCAGTTGAAGTCTGAGAGACACAGAGGGAGGGAGGGAAAGAGAAAGAGGGGAGGGAGAGGGAGGGAGGGAAGGAGGAAGGGAGGAGGGGAGGCAGGGAGGGGGGAGAGAGAGAGAGAGAGAGAGAGAGAGAGAGAGAGAGAGAGGGGGCAAATTCCAGTTCATAAACACTTGAAATGTATTTCCATGTTCTTGTAGGAAAGTTTTGGTTCTTTCTTGTAAGGATAATAAGGTATTGAAAGACATTATTGTGTGATCTTCTGCTGTTAGCTATGGGAGCTCATTAAGTTCTTAAGGTGATATTCAAAGAAAAACTCAATAACAGATCTAAAATACTTCAAAGCACTTTGCTAAATAATGGCAGACAATACTAGATGCTTTAACCAATCACCCACTTGTCCACAATTTAACACTTATATGCTATATATCCTGATGCCACTGAACCTCCAACATCAAACAAAAATACTTTCTGCATAGGGAAGGGGGCAGGGAACACCTGTAGAGAAAGCAGCACTTAGAATTTTGCATATATTTTAACTGTGTCTATTGACACCTTCAGCTAGATCTAGCATGAGAACATATTTTGAAAATCTTCCATCGTTTCCATGTGTTATCGTTTCTATCCAGTTCTGTCAGATACTCTGGTTCTTGGCCCCGTCACCCTTCTGGTGAGAAACATGTCAGTCAGCTTGGGTAGGACCCATCCAACCCCCATTCCAAAGTTTCAAGTAAGCCTCAAAGGATTAAATTCAGGAAGTAGACACAATGAGTCACCAGACCTCACCAAGCCAACTGAAATCCTCCCAGGGTCTTTCCTCCCAAAGAATCCCAGAAAACTGGAAAGTATGTCTAGGATCTACTAAGGAATGTTCACCATGTAATAGCATGGAATAGTGTTCAAAAGAAACTAGCAGAACAAGGACATGGGCAAAGAAGCCAACATGGTGGCTCATGCCTGCAATTCTAGCTATTTGGGAAGGACGGGTCAGAATTATTGTTTGAGGTCAGTCCATGCGAAAGCTGAGTGCTAACATACTCCACAAGTAAGTTCAATGGCTGATGTCTGTAATCCCAGCTGTGAAGAGGCAAATATGCATGTCTCATGTGAGTGCATATTTGCCTCACAAGTGCCTTGAGTTCAAACACAAGGACAGAAGGAAAAAAAAAAGGGGGAAATTTATTTGGAAGATAGAGTTCTCACTGGCAATCTGGACTGGGGAATCTATTTACCAAGAGCCAATTTCTTTAATTTGCCAAAGCAGCCATAAAACTACTCCCTTTGGTTTACTATATTTTGGTCATCTATAAAAGCAGTAGCAAAATCCAAACTAAGCAAAATAAAAACTAAATTAAAATATCAAATAAACTCTAAGGCATCAAATATTAGTTTCTTTGGGCCTCAGTTTATGCCCAAAAAAGTGATAAGATTGGATTAGACATACTGGATTATTTTCAATGAGTTTCCTTTGTTGTTTAATTGTATTAAATAAATGGAATTTGACAACTAATGTGTATTTAAGTAGTAAAATCTTTTGGTATCCAAAAAAAAAAAGGAGGCAATATGTTTAGGAATGCTTATAAGCTTGCTTCCAATGTGAAATATCTTTAATTAGGCCAAAAATCTTTATTAATAGATTTTTCACAGAAAAAGTAAAGAAGGATTTTTTAAAATATCTTTTCCATACTACTTTTGACTCTATTAGGCTACTTTTCTCAACCAATAGTCAAAATTAAAGGTATGAAATGTCATACAAGAATAGTGCACAGGGGCTGGGAAGGTAGCTCAGTGGTAGAGTACTTGCCTTGCATGCATGAGGCCCTAGCTTCATTCCTCAGCGCCACAAAAGCAGAAAAAGCCAAAAGTGGCTCAAATGGTAAAGCGCTAACCTTGAGCTGAAGAGCTCAGGGACAGGGCCCAGGCCCAGAGTTTAGGCCCTGTGACTGACAAAAAAAAAATAGGGCACACCATTTGTTGAAATGTATTTCTTAGTAAAATTTCACTTTATTCAATATTTTCTGATGGAGTAAGTTCTGGTCTTAAGTACTGAATTTTTCAGAAATGGTAAACAAATGTAATTTGACTGCAAAGTACACTGCTGCAAGTGCATGCCAATATGAAATAATTAAAGTCTTTGTAACTCTTCTGACTGCAAAGGTGTCATAAATCGAAGTTTTCTGAACCTACCGTTCTGAATAAAGTTCTCTTTTCCTCACCTCTATACCCCAGAAAATCAGGGTCAACGCTATTTGCTGGAGAACAGGAGAAAGGGTAGAAAAAGTAAGAGCAGACAAAGAAAGAAATGAGTGAGGGGCAGAAGGGTGGGGGGACTAGAGTTACAGAGTCACTGATAGACTAGAGAAAAAGACATTATGACAGAAAAGGAGAGGTGAAGGAGAATAGAAAGAATTAGGGAGAATGGGGAAGGAGAGACTAGGGAGCAAGGGAGCACAAGACACCGAGGTGGTACCTGCAAAAGAGTGGGTATCAGAGAAGAAAGAAGAGATAAGGAGCACAAGGAAGCAGGAAGGGGACAGAGAATAGTAAACAAAAGCAAATAAAGAATAAACATAACTGTCTATTAATTAGCCAAGCACCCAGGATGCTTTACATTTGTGTCACTGCACAGAACCAATGTTCAACACAGTAATATTCTCATTTTAACTCCAAAGTGCTGGAGATTAACAGATCAATATTATACATAGACATTTTTCTGAATACAGGATCAATAAAAATAGAAATTATTACATAATTTATATTACATGAAAAGCTTCATCTTTTTAAATTAAGAAATATGACATAGTATACTTAAACTCCAAAGCATTAGCTTTCTGAGCACCAAGATATATTCAATGGATAATACACAGAGCAATGCTAAATTTTCTACATTCTCAGCAGCAGTGGCGGGAAAGTTCTCATTTCCTGATGGTAATTTAAGAGCTTCAGTTCTTTCTCTTCTGGTTATTGGCCCTGGCCAATTGTGCCTGCTTGGCTGAGCTTCTTTCCTTCCTATCTTCTTTGTCTCTGGATGTCAGTTTACTGGAAGTATCCTTCATATTTGCTGATTTTTTCTTACTTTCCTTGGATTTAGTGCTCTTATCTGGGTCCACTTTCTCCTTCTCCCTATCCTTTTTACCCCTGAGAGGCTCCTTCCTGGATGTATCTGAATCAACCATTTTCTTATTCTTCTGCTCATCCTCCTTTTCTTTCTTCCCCCTTCTTTTTTCTTCATTCTTCCTGGACACTGATTTCCCAACTTCCTTCCTGAGCTCTTCCTTAGTAGGTTCTTTTACTTCCAGATTTCCCCCATCAAAGAAAAAAACATTTACTGACTGCATCACTTAAATTGTAAAATAGCAATTCAGTGAAACATCTTGTCTTTTCATATATTTCCTCCCCCCACATGAGAAACGATCATTCAAAAAAAAACCAATGCACTCATTTTTAAGTTGGTTAAAAAATGTCAGCTATAAAAGAAATGCTGAAATCTCACCATCCTTTTTTTTCCAGCTTCACATATGGCTTGACTTGGTTATCAGAGGTTAACATGCAACTTTGTTAAAATGAGCCCCCCACAAGAGCAGAGCCTCACACAGTTAGTTCATACTTCACAACCACAATGATGACATAATTAAAGAATACTGGCAATGTCAAAAACCAACTTTCAGTAACAGTTTTTATAAAGTTTTTTTTAATGTGGAACAAAACATAATGTCCTTAGAACAGGTGTGTTTACAGTCTTTGAGAAAAATATGCACAAATAAAAGCTAAATAGCATTCAATAGACTTACATAAATAATAATTTTTAAAAAACCACCTCCATGTACAAGAACATTAAAAATCACTACCTGTAGGAGTTATGACAAAAAATTGTTTTGTTATTTTTGCTTATAAACACTCAGTATTCCTTTGTAGTGTATGTCCCTATCAATTCCTAGAGAGGCAATCATTTCCGACATAACCTGTCCATAGTATAATCTGTTTGTAGTGAAGGGAAAAGAACTAAACAAAGGCACAGGTAATTCCAAATCTCATGTAGAATGATGCTTTCAACATGTGTTGCATAAGTTCAGCAGAGTGATTAGTAAAAAAATCTGACCTTCTTGTTCTCTGATCTGACAGGTGTAAGAGAAGGTGTTTCTGCATAATGTTGCATTTCAGTGGTGATAAGCAAAATGAAAATTTATTTTAATATAATAAGACATGGAAGATGTGTCTGCTAATTGAACACATGGAAAACTCTTAAAGCACAGACTTATTCAAAATGGGCTCCAGACCTGTGGGCTTACAGGAAGGACTTCTGCATTGGACCTTCCCAGACAGTCAAACAAACGCTAGATTAATCAACAAGAATATCAGTGAATTTCCTGGGGAGTACATTGTCAGGAAACACTTCAATTCTTCCTAGAAAAACTCATCAAATCCTGTAAGAATACAGAATACCATCCATATAGAAAAGCATGCTCCAAGGCTTCATTTTACTTCCATGTCGTTCAGAGACTAATATAGAGGAGCCAAAGAGTAAAATGCTTATGCAACACTCTCAGGTATTATTCTGTTCAGCGTTTTTAAAGAAAATTAACTCATTAACATTGAATGTGACTTTTCAGATCAAGAAGTAAACTGATACTTCATTGGCCACTTATTTCATTATTTACATGAAACTAAAAATGGTAAAGTTTCTGCTTTCTTTCTATAAATTAGCATGGTAGAAGGCAAGGTCACAACGCTATTAGACATCCTCATCTTTCACAAAACCAGCACATCAAATAATGAAAAAATTTTAACACAGTCAAGTTACAGCAAAAATCAAATTGCAAATCATAGGCCAAGCATTTGGAAAGAAATATCACAAGATTTTTTAAAAAAGAAAACCATGCAATTCCACATGCCTTTCTCCCTAAAGAACACGAGTGTATACATATAAATATTAAAGGATATTAAAATTCTAATACTGAACTCCTAGCCTACATAGAATGGTAGATGTGTAATTTTTAATTAACTAAAATATACAACACAAATTTCATTCCAAAAGGCTATAGCTTACAAATCTAAATTTTCATTTTATTGGAAAGTGCACATCTGATTGAACTCACTGTGTTTAAAACAGTATCATCGAAATTTTTGGAAAAATGAAGTCAATCACTGATGAATTTACCACTGTGACAGCAGCAATACAAAAAGTCAAACTAAGAAAGGTTTTAGGTAGTAAGATGTTTATATGCAAACTTAATATAAATATTCTAACAAATGTTACATGATACTATCTTATATTCTCATCTAAAAATTATGTTCTTATGTAAAAACTTTTAGTTTTATCTAAAAACTTTTTATAGTTTTTACATTAAAAAGTAAATGAATTAAAATTATAGACTAGAGGAAAATTTTTCAATAAGCATTTGAAAAGAATCTTATTGACATAAGGTATGCTCAAAACCAAAGAAAGCAGTATTATTTAGCATTAGTAGCTGCATTTACATAACATACTGGAATATCTCATGCACTTTAAAGCAAGAATGTGATTCATTCAAGCCTAATTTAAAAAGCCGAAAATACCTTTAGCCTTAGTTTTTCTCTTGGCTACCCCACCAGGTCCTTCTGTTGGTATTTATAAGATGAAAATAGGTTACAAAGACAACGTTTTGAGGAAACCAAAAATAAATATCTATTAATAAGTTGAAACTGATGCTTCTATAAAACAATGACACATTTATCACAAAGAAAGATACTTGGACATTTCAGTATTTATGTATCTCTTTGAAGTCTTAGTTCTGTAACAGATAAATGACAATGATCTCCTCACCATCACAATTGGCATCAGACATTAACCATCATTGGCTTTAGCAACACCTATTTGCCTCTGTAAATGACATGTTGCTGCAGTTGTCTGGGCTTCTGTTCTGGTGGCAGCTGATAATATAGAGATCTAGAATCCTTACTTCTCCACTCAATCACCACTGCCATCCACAACAGGCTCACCTCTTTTTATAGAATTTTCATCTATCTAGCCAACCACTGTTTTACCCTCATTATTTCAAATGTTTTAAAAAGTTAAAGAAGCAACTAATATACTATTATGTAAGCACACATTAACTGTTTCACTCAAAAAACACTTCACAATAGCTTTCTTGTTTGACAGATCAAAGTTCTGATACTGGGTTTCTCTGTGACAGTTAACAAAATCAATCCCACATTTCTTTTGGTGCAACTTTTTCTCCAAACAGCAAATACTCAAGGTCTCTCTCTATTGGCTGTCCTTTTCTATTTCCAAGTCAAATAAATCCGATTTTGAGTACACAGATGGGCAAAATTCTAAAGCAGCAATTTCTAATGCTGACAACCAATTTCTCAGGTATATCTGTTGAGAAGTGTAGTTACTATTCAGGAGGATGGGAGAAAGAAACCACAAAGATAAGCTATAAGGATGTCAAAAGAAAACTTCTCAACCATGACACTTACTTACTCCTGCTGCAAATGGTAGAATCTGCTCTGTATGTTTTGTTTTGTTTTTTTTTTTTGTCGGGCATGGGGCCTGAATTCTGGGCATGGGCGCTGTCCCTCACCTCTTCAGATCAAGGCTGGCGCTCTACCACTTGAGCCAAAGCACCACTTCTGGCTTTTTCTGCTTATGTGGTGCTGAAGAATTGAAGCCAGGGCCTTATGCATGCAAGGCAAGCACTCCATCACTGAGCCACCTTCCTAGCCCTGTATGTTTCTTGACAATACAATCACACACGTACAATCCGTATCACATTCTCATTTCCAGTATGAGGAGTTTTTGTGCCTGTTAACATTTTTCACATCATCTGCCATTCCTAAACTCCCTTCTCTTTTTCTATTTGTACAAATTATTTCTATCAAACTCAGTGTAATAAGAATTCTAATTTAGTATAAATTGAAATACAACCACCATTCTGGAAAAAATGCATGGCTTACTGCTGACTACATAAAAAGAAAAGGAAGGAACATGTAGTTAACTGCTCTTTGTGGTTCTATCTATATGCCTGTATAGCATTTGTATATAATTGGGTTTCCCTGCATTTGTATTGTAATTATGTTTCACATACAAAACTTGAGTTTTCCCTAAATTCTGTCAAAACAACATATCATTTTGTAATACAGAATGCTATCTTAGACCACATCCTTCTGAAGTCTACCTCTTAATAAGATGCTAACCTACTTTTGTACTACACTTTAAATAGATGATTATTCTTGAATGTGTGAAAGAAATTAACATAAAGCAACAAAATACATTTTCTGACTATTAATGTCTCTTTGCTCACTAATACACATTCTTCTAGGCCAGGCTGAGATTGTCCTCTTAAATAGGAGGGTAGAGCTGAGTGCCTATGATTGACACTTATATCTTTACCACTCATATCTCAGATTATTCAGTGCTGAAAGAAGCCAAATGTAAGCACTAATCTCCAGTGTTCTCACTCTGTTTTTGCACCAAATCCCAGAGAACCTAGTTCTCTCAGATCAGTAGATGAGCATCCAAAGAATCAGGAACAGCCACACTGAGGAATCAACACTACATATAACATAAAGCATAACCATAGATTCTGAAAAAACCATGAAGGAAAAATATGAATCAAAATTCCCGAACTATAAATACTTAGATATACAGAATGCAATGTTGCAAGTAAGAATCTTGAAACTAAAAGGTATCTATTCTCCATCCTGAGATGGAGAATAGAAAGATCACACCAGGACAAACAACATTAAGACTATATCTCAAACAATAAACTTTCAGTATATGCATGGACCTGTCCTATCATAAATAGAAAGGTTGTGTGGTCCAGGCCAGCCTGAGCATTAATGTGAGACCCTATGAGAAAACCAGATACAGTAAAAATGACTGGAGCATGCCTTACATGGTAAAGCATGCACCTACCAATTACAAGATTCTGTATTTTTTTAATCTTATAATTCTAGACATCAGTGGCTTATGCCTATAATCACAGCTACTCAGGAGATCACTGTTCAAAGCCAGCCCAGCCAGCAAAGTCTGTAAGACTCTCATCTTCCATAAACTACAACAAAAGCCAGAAATGATTCTATGGCTCAAGCAGTAGGGCATGAGCCTTGAGCAAAAGAAGCCCAGGGACAGAGCCCAGGCCCTGAGTTCAAGCCTCCCACAAACAAAAAACATTAATACCAAAAATAAGTAGGGTAGCAAAAATGAAACTATCCACTTTCCACATCCACTTATCATAGATTCAAAAAGAGTTATACTGAAGAAGAAACGTTAGTCATAAATAAGCCCAAATAGCATATCAGCAACAAACTAAACAAACAGTAAAGAGTGAGCATCTTATTAAAAACTTTGCAATCTTGGGATTTCCCACAAGGATATATATGATCTAAGTGTAGGTAACATATAAGATCACAAAATAACAAATTAAGCTTCCTCCCCTGAGCTTAAAAAAAGTCATTAATTTTTCATCATGTCTCCATGAAAAGACCAAGTTAGAAACTTAAAGCACAATT